AATTTTAGATTATAAAAGAATGACCAAAACATAGATTCAAGCCATATTCTCTAATAAACAATGGATAACTTTGAAAAGATCGATGGTAATATGTATTTTCCCAACGAACAACTTCCACCTTCTGATGTATATGATTATAATACTGTGATTTACGATGATAATGGGTGTGAAGTTTTCTATCCTTTGTATCTACCAGAATACAATAGTGATATTATATACGAAATGCCTTATTATGAAATCCCATGCCAGGAGAAACAGGGTGAAAAGGAAAAGGTTATGATCGATACACGTGAAGAGAAATTGGAGAAGGAAAATGAAAAGTTACGAAAGAGAATCGAGATTCTTGAAAATGATATTGAAAAAAAGGACAAGAATAATGATAAACAGGCTGATTACATTGTTACTCTTCGGAATAAATTAAAAGACTATGAAAATAAAATTGATAAACTGAGAATGACCTTGGACGACGAACGAAGAAATTTCGGGTTTTTACAAGGAGAATGTGATCGTAAAGAACGACTTATTAAAAGATTACAATGGGAAGAGCATCAACGGGGACTTGGTAATAAAAAAGTCTATGAAGAGAATATTAAGTTTAAGGAACGAGGATCTAATAATAAAGAAGTCTATGAAGAGAATACCAAGTTAAAAGAAGAGATTTATTTTCTTAAAGAAACAATTTCTGGAATAGAAGAGGGAAACAAGAGAAGAAGAGAAACAGATTCTTTGGTTTCAGATTACGGCCATGATTACGAGATAAATAATCGTAAGAGAATTAAAGAGTAATTTTTAAATTTATCTATATTTTATATCTGTACAGTATATTATGTATCATGTGATACTTTCTAAAAATATAAATAAATGAATATTTTATCTTTCATAAAACTATGTAAACATGGATCGATTAACACTAGAGATAAAACAAAATATTTTTATTATGATTTATAACCCATTCTCTATTATGTGTGTCTCACGAACATGGTATGGTATAAGTTGCAGTCATACCACTCGCGCAAAGTGGCTGATCTTCCACCATGGAAAGTCACATGCATTGTTTAACGCAGTGAAGAAAGGTCCAAAGTTTTTAACATACAATCAACTTAAAGCTTTGTTTTCTTTAAACATTCTTCCATCACGGTATTTTGTCCAGCGTTTAATGTTAGTATTCGGACAGGTAGATTGTGATCTTGTTAACATGAAGATAAGAAATGAAATATCAGATTATGACATTTCTCTAATGAGAAAAACTAAAAGTTCCTGGGCTGAAGATATAGATTTTAATGTTCTTAATTGCATATTAATGAAAGCTCATGAGCT